CCAGCTCCCCTCTTCTTTGTTCTAGACACAATAATCCACCCCCCCAGCACCCTAGGGCACCCAGGTATCCCCAGCCCTGGAACACTCAGGGACCCCGGGCCCAGGTCTTGAGGACTTCCTCTGGCTTAGCCAGTGACCAGCCTTGGCCCAGCCTGGCCCCACTCTGTGGCCAGGATCACAGGCAGAGGGCCTGACATTCCACCACCCCCAGACTCCCTCCTACCCTGTGGCTTCCCCCAGGAATTGCTCTCAAACAAATGAAACGTGGGTAATTACTGGGCTGGGGGCTGGACAGGCGACCGTGCAGATGAAAGCGTTTCCTGGACGGTCTCTTCATTTGCATGGCATCAGAAGCTGCTCAGAAGGTGTGACTTTTCCCACAGTGAGACCCCCGCTCCTTGCACAATAAAGCCAGGCTGCTCACCCAGAATTAATTAAAGGGGGAGGGGAGCAGAGGAGAAGTCACCAGGGCTGGAGGAGTGGGGACAGAGGCGTCTAGACCTCCCCCCCACACCCCCAGTATCTATGCACTAGGTCAGGCAGAACCCACCCAAGCCACAGCCCCACCCCCGTGGAGGTCACAGGTGGGTGGACAGACCCCGGTGCTATCCCCGGCCGCACTGCTCCAAGGCTTTCCATCAAGCCGTGGTGTTCTTGACCCACCTGGATTGGCTGAGCCTGAGACGTGGGTTGTAGCTCTGGAAGCCCTCGTGGTTAGGAAGCCTCAGGCTGGCTTGACCCTGCTCTTAGCCTGTGGTCCTCCATGCCCAGACCCTGCCCCCTCTAGGCCCACCTCTCTGAGGTCAGCGGCCGCTGCCTGGACAACCGTCTCCAGGTGCTTCAGCAGCACCTGAGCGCGGGCTTCATGCTCACAGCTCTCTAACCAGCTCTCCAAGTCAACACTTGCTCCCAGTCACGACCCCAGCTTGGGCAGAGCCCCCTCCTAGAGACCCCATCCTGGACCTTGGCAGTTACTCTTCTTTCATCTCCTGGAGCCTGATTCTCAGAAAGAACCAGTTCTGGACCCTCCAGCCTGTCTCCCCTGCAGACCTGGGCACGCAGAGAGGCACTCTGAGAGAGGGATCTGTCATGGCTGCTCTGCAGGGCCTGCCTACCATTCCGAGTCCTGAGGTGGCCTAGGGACATGTGAGCCGTGACTCCTACGGAGAGCAGGGAGGCCCACATCTGAGAGCTCCCAGGACCAGCCCGGAGTCTTCCCTCTTTCCCCCTTTTGTCCTCCAGAGAAAACCCCTCCCGTGGCAGCAGTGGGGCTGGTGACAGGCCTGGGTCCTTAGCAGACTGGAAGAGCTGTAAACAGGCACCCACCGACTGGGACCTGCGGCAGAGCCGGAGGGAGGGGGCTGACCCCTGCAGGACGAACTCTCCAACACACATCTTTAATATTCAAGTTAAATAAATATTTCAATCATTTAATAGCAACTAGTACACAACTGCTCCCCGGCTGATGCCCACCCCGGAACATCTGAACTATGTCACGGGCCTTCCTTCTGTCACCTGGGGTCCCATGAGTCTCCAGCTGCCCAGCCACCAGTCTCCCTGCAGGTGTGTGTGGGGGGGTCTCGGGAGCACTTCTGCTGGCCTAAAGAAAGCCCCTCACTGCCAGGGAGCCCCCAGCCCCAATCCCAGAGTAGGCCACTAACTGGCCTTTCTGAGAGTTAAGAAGACAGACACCACAGCCAAGTGGAATACAAAAATAGAGCCTCTCTTTTGTTTAAAAAACAAAACAAAACAAAACAGCAAAAAAACCCAACAGCAAACAGTATCAACAACTAGACCCGGGGCTCCCCAGCTCCCCCCAGCCTCCAGCCGCGCTGATCTCCTGTGCTCCGGCCAGGTGGAAATCCCCATCTGGGGTGCGGGAGTGTCGGGCAGGGCCTATCGGGGCTCGGGGGCCCAAGTCCTCTGGCTGCCCCGCAGGCTGCGCGTGAAGGGCGGGTAGTTGAGGAACTCGAAGCGCAGGCTCTGCTCGGTGGTGTGGTGGCCGCGGGGCAGCCGCTTCATGAAGTGGACCTCGCGCTGGTGCTGCCGCGTCTTGGAGCCCTTGCGCGGCCGGCCCTTGCGGGTGAAGGCCATGTACCAGCCCTCGTACTTGGCGTTCTGCAGCGCCGTGTAGTTGTTCTCCAGCACGATCTCCGTGAACACGCAGTCCTTGCCTTTGCCGTTGCTCTGCAGGTAGGGGGGCCAGACGCGGCTTTACGGAGCCCCCCCACCCGAGGCAGAGGGCGAGCGGCCGCAGACAGCAGGTGGGCACCCAGCAGATGGCGAGGTGGGCACCCGCTCTCTAATCCCTCACAACTCGCAGCCCACCCGGCAACTTCCTGTCCTCCCGGGCAGCAGTGACACATGGCTGTCTACGCAGGGGCTGGGCCGCCCAGAGGGGCAGAGACAGGGGGCCCGAG